CACGCCTGCTCAAATGCTGGCCCTTTTCAGACGGCCAGAGCCACAACCCGTATGCGTGGACAGTAAAGATCTTCTCCAGGGCTCGTATTTAAAAACTGCTGAAGCAAAGCTCTCGCTTGTTCACTGCGTATGAATGCGGCTGAGACTTTTAAGCCCCACGACCCCGGGCTCTTGAGGCGGCGGGTGTCACGGATGCCGTCACTCCTCCAGCAGGCATCCCAGAAATGCTGATTGCAATTAGAAACATTGGCTTCAGGCGCAGCGCCCTCGTGCCTTTTTGACCCCTGGGCTGAGCACACCGCATCATGTTTTCTCCTGGCGCGGTCTGTCGTGTCCTTTGGCTTCTCACCCACTAAAACGAATGGGATTCCTAAAATTTTCTCTCCTCCCGCCGCCGTTCGGAGCTGCCTTGCCAAGTGGTTCTGTCTCTGGAGTTTCTCCCTATGGGTTTCTGCTATTTCTTTTCCCTTTCCCTGCCTTCCCTTGTTCTCGTCAGTGCAGCTCTGGCTCCAGGGGCTGCCCCAGCACTGCCTGGTGATGTACCTCCTTCTCCTCTGTGCCAGCCCTGGGCTCCCCAGGAAGGATGAGGGGTATGATCAGGGCAGGGCGCCTTAGGCAGCGGGGAACTCAATTGCTCTTTGTCCCTTTCCGCGTGTTGACTTTGGCCTGTTGTTGCACGTGGCCAGTATGGCAGCTTCTCAGACGGAGCGGAGGGCTGCGCGTGGAGCCTGGGGGCTAGTTGCTTTGTGCCACACCTGTGTAGGGCACCCTCCCGGAAGTGCCAGCTGCTCCTGGATCCACAGTGGGTCTTGGAGTCTGGAGCCTAAAGCCAGGGGCCCAAGCTGCATGCTGTGCTGTAGCCGTCTCCAGGCTCCCGGGCCTGACGGCAGCCCTGTCATTAGCAGTCTGTTTATGCGGGAAGTTGGCTCCTGTGGGCTCTGCGATGGATTCCCTTTCTCTGGTTCCTCTTTGTGCAGAGGCAGCACTAGGCCCCGGCGCTGTGAATGGCCTGCAGTGTGTGCAGCGCGGCGGAGCATTCCTGCGCTCTGAAATGTAGCCCACGCCTCCCCGCCAAACAATGCCTGCTCAGAAGCTCCTTTTGTTCCTGGGGGGCTAAAAACATTTAGAAGGAAGCCTGCCAGCATGTCTTGCTTGCTAACCCCACTTCTCTCTCTTTTTTTTTTTTTTCTTTTCCATTTGAAATGCACCAGGCGGTTGCTTTAGCTGCTCATGGAGATAGGGCAGGAAACCCTAACCCTCCAGGCTGCCTCAGGTGTTGTCCATCTGCCTCTGAGAAGCAGAGTGCTCTACGGTTGCACTGATGGGGCCTGGTCAGTGTAGGTAGGAACATGTTTCCAGCATCCTCTTCCTTTCGAGAGGGCTTTCTCTGAGACAGGTTTGCCTTTGCTGCTGTTAGCAGCTCACGCCTTCAGCCCTGTGTCCACATGTCTTTAGCCCAGGTGGTTAGGGTGGGACTGGCTTGGTAGCCCACTGAAGCCATCCCAGATGCAGTCAAAGGAGCAGGAAGAGTGCCCACCCTTAGGACCTTGCAGTGAAATAGCCTCAAAAGCCTCCCCCAGTTGTGGGTGCCCGGTCTGGTTGAGATGCCGAGCACTGGCAGCTCTCACTGATGTCCGTTGGGTGCCCAGGGTGTCAGAAACGAGGGCCATGGTGGCAGATTGTCAGTATGTGTGAGGGTGCTCATGTTTCCATGATGGGATCTGTCTTGTGATCAGGGCAGAGCAATGCAAGGCTGGTCCCCTGAGAGTGTTCCCAGTCTTGCTGCTCTGGGAAATTCAACCAGGTTTCTGCATGGCCCTAAGAATGCCTGTGGCACTTGGGTTGCACTTGGCCCCACTGGACTGTCTGATTGCTTTGTAAAGGAGATTCTATTTCATCTCCATTTCTGTGACCTGTGAGGTTTTCTCAAGGCCCGAGGCACTGCATGTAGCATGCTGAGGCTGTGGTAGGCTTGTTAAAGTGGGATAAGTGGAGGCATCGCCTGCTGGGGTTACTGGGTCCTGGTGCCTGTTTCTCAGCCTGCGAACAAGGAGGTATACCAGCTGGTTTCCGCAGGCCCTGTCGTGTGACTCAGAACCCCTTCCAAAGGCCCCTCTCTCTCGGGCAGGAAGTGTGCACCAATGTGTCTCATATTGAGCCAAAGCAAGCAGACCGGGCCCGTGAGTTTTGTCCCCTTGGCCGGAGAAGCAGGAAGTGCCGTGCTGTAGCAGCTTTGTCTTCTCTGGGTTTGCTTCCTCAAACCGTCCCTTTTGCTCCATTTAACGCTTCGCAGGTTCGTGAATGCAGCAAGATGGCCCTATGACTCGCCTTGCCCCGCTCTCCTGGCTGCCACGCTCACCTTGCCCTGGGGGTGTGTGCCCAGGCCCATGGGGGTGTGGAGGAGCCCTGGCTGTAAGTCACATCCATGGAGTGTGGCAGGAGAAGCTAGCGAAAGGGCTCACTCATCGGCTATTTCCTCAGGGGCAGGAGTGGCGGTGGCTTTTGTGAGCGGGCAACAGAACTGAACAGAAAGCAGAGAGAGAGCACCATTCTCCTAAGGCCAGTGGGACAGCAGGTATGTTGACCTCTTGGAGCTTGGAAACCCAAGGGCACAGCTGCAGTGCTGGGGGCTGCAAGCACATCCTCACGTGGTGTGTAAGGACAAGGGGCGAGCTCTGCCTGGGGGTCCAGCACCTTGAATGGAGGTGAGTGGGAGCTGCCCTGGGTGGGGCGAATACGCTGTGGGAAGCTTCCCTGCTGCAGGGGGAAGGAGGCATGTGTGCAGCCAGGAGGCATGGGTGGCTGCTTTGATGGGGCAGATTGAGGAAGCGGAAGAGAGCTTGGCATCTGCCTTGTGCTTGCAAGGAACAAGTGGGCTTGAGCGGTGGGCAAGGGAAGCCACAGCGTGGCTGAGCTCCACGCACTCATCCGATGTGATCAGCGCCGCACGGAGGCTGTCACGGCCCAGCTGGCACCATGATGTCATGAAGGTGTTTTATCAGGGGGAATCAGAACAGCCACAGCCCAGACCATCATCAGCACTGGAGATCCTGTGATGCTTTTAACGAGGTACCCTGGTGACAGTCTTGCCTTCCTCAAGTCCCACTGGGTATAGCTTTCTAACTTCATGTCTTAAAGGGTTAGGCAGCTGCTACCGTCTATGCTGGACACGGCTGCATTTTCCTAGTGAATGCAGTGACCTCCGCACCAACTTCCACGCATACGTATCTGCTTTGCAGTGAAAGGATGAGCCCCAGCAGTAATACGGTGTGTTGCTGTACCCTGTAATGCGCATCTTTACCAGGCGGTACAATTTCCCCGTGGAAAGAAAGCTGGAATGCCTCTGGCAGGCAGTTTCCATGCCCAGTCTGAACCGCAGTCTGAGCCAGACCCCCGCAAAGACGCTGCTGTGGATTTGGGTCCAGCTGCCAGCCCAGCAGCCCATGCAGTTGGTCATATGATCCAAGAATAGGCTCTTTCAGCAGACTGAGGCTGCTCGTCCTCCTGCGTCGGTGCACACAGGGAGGGCTTCTGATTTGATCAAAAGGCATCGCAGATGATCTTTTCTTAAGCAACCGAGACCTGATTGAAGCGCGTCTGCAGCCACATCCTCGGGCTGTAACTTTATCTAACCAGAGGGAGTGCTTTCCATTAGCAGTCTGGCTGTGTGGGGCAGCGGGCAGTGAGTCAGGAGAAACTGGGCCTGGCTTGTGTTATGATCTTGCGTTATACACCCAGCTCTTTTTTGGGGGCCTCGGTTTCCCTGTCTGCCGCATGGATTGATCACACTTGCGAGCCACCACAAAAGTGGTTCGATGTAGGCAGAGAAGTATTGCTCTGTGTAACAGAGAGCGTGGAGGACGAGCAGAAAGAACTGGAAGCCATAAGCTCTCGGGCAGGTCTAAAATAACTCCATTGACTTAACTGGAGGGTCTCTGAATTTACAGTGTTATCACAGAATACAGCATCCATTTATTTTCTGGGGAAACCTTTGGGATGGGGGAGCTTATCAACTGTCCTAAGTTATTTGCCTGTACTTTGTCCCTCTGAGGATTTCAAAGAGGCTTTCAGGTGCTCATGAATATAGTCTTATGCTTCTGCGAGGCGGTGGATAACATTATCCCCTGTACAACAGGTCCTAGTGCAGTCAAGGGACTTGGCTAGGGTCACTCGGGAGGTCAGTGGCAGAGCTGAGCAAATCTTATGTCTCTCACCAAATGCTGCTTTTGAGTGACCACGTGTGTCCTGATGTAACTTCGGCGTTGCCTTTATTCTTGAGTTGTTCGCTCGTGTAAAGTGACCTGATTGGTAAAAAATCCAGGCGGGGGGGTGTTATTTTTGTGGCATTTGCTAATTGGGAGGGTTGGGAAGGTCAAAAAACAATGACTAGAGGCATCGTGGTGGTTCTCACTCGCTGTAGCATGTGACAGTGAGTGCTGCCATTAGAAAGGTCTTGGGCAGAATTAGGTGAAGGCTCTCTAAGAAGCTGCCTTCAGTGATTGTGGTTAAAAGCAGCCCCTAGTTAACACACTAGATGGCCCAAAAGACTTCGTGTTCACGGGGTATCAGTTGCCAGCGAGTCACTTTGGAACAGAGCGAGCCAAAACATGGCCGCACCACAAGGACGTGGTTTGGATTGAAATGGAGCCCTCTTCTCGGCCCTACCTTGCCATCATGGTATGCAGTGTTTAGTTATTAAAAGCAGTCATCCATCAGCATGTCACTTTTATCTAGTCGTGTCCAAATGACTATGGACTTGACTGGGAGCACAGCTGTTTTGCTTTACCCTCTCTGATACGCGCTGCATTGCTTTCAGAACATGCAAGGGGGGGGGGGAGAGCTTGTAGGAGGGGAATGATTAGATGAGCTTCAGCTGGTTTTTTTCCCCCTGTTTGAATGGCCCTCTTTCATCGGGATATGTTAGAACAAGTGCTTTTTCAAGCCAGAATATCAGTGGAAGACACGACGTTCTGTAAGAGTCATCCAGTTCCTGGGCAGCATCAACAGATGAGATTTCTCTGCTCCTCATAGAATATACAATCCACCCTTTTTTTTCCCCTCTTCTTTTTTTTTTTTCTTTTAAGGCTTTGGAAGCAAAAGGATGTGAGTTGAACAGTGGGTTATGAATCTTTTTGGTTTTACTGACTTCTGCCTGTGTCTCGGGCCCGCACAATGCTTCTGCCGTTCAAAGACATCCAGGACAGCTTAGTACGTATCATTTGTTTTCATTCTGCTACCGAATGTCGCGGCTTAGGACATCGGCAGCGCAAGTCAGGGTGCAGCAGGGCAGGGTTTGCTGGGTAATGATGTGCGGTTTTTTTTAGAAAAAATGTCATTGAAATTTCTATGAAACCTCTGTGTCCCACGATGATGAGCTCTGGAAATGCAACTTTGCTGCTATCAGGAGAGAGGTGTGATTGAGAGAGGTCCAGCGTGGAAGTGGGTTGGAATATCCTGCTTTGTTGCTGTCAATTTTGTTCCATTAGCCGCATTCTGGGACGTGCACGAGGTGATAGAAAGAAAAAACATCTCTTGCAGGAAGCAAGCAGGGTATGTATTTGGGCCAGCATTGGGCTGCGTCCCTGCTTTAGCTCCTAAAGTATGAGCTGCCGCAAAGGGGCACTTTGATCTACCAGTGTATTAAATCCATGCGTCACCATTTTGGAAACCCACTAAAGAAAAGAATGGTGTGGGGACCGCAGAATGCATGGTGGTGGGGAGACATGTCCCATCTGCCTGGGTGAGGGCTGCCTTTTGTGAGGTCAGTAATGCGGTTTGGGGAATGAATATGGCACTTTTTTTTTTTTTTTTTTTTTTAATATTTTTTTGGTTTACTAGAAATTTTTTTTTTTTGACTGAAAATCATGGGTTTAAGCATTAACAAACTACTAAAACAAATTTTTAGATAAAAGAATAAAACAAACATTTCCTACACAATTCACTTCCTTGGAAATTATACACTTCAAATGAGTGTAGGCAAAC